AAGGGTTCCAGGAGGAGGGGCCAGGTCAGGTCAAGCTGGGCTGAGGCGCCTGCTGTGCGAGGCAGCACCTTGGTTTCATAGTGGGGAGGGGCCTAGGACAGCATAGGGAAGCACCTCACTATGTAGGGCAGGTAGGGGTGTTGGGGACATCCAGCTGGATGCAGCCCTGCACACCTCCATGGGAAGGAGCTGGCCAGGGCCTCCCAGGGTGGTGGGTGGGGAGAGAAGGGCCAGCCAAAATGGCTGCCGACCCCCAAACTCCAGGTGGGATGAGCTGGAGACTCCCCAGTTAGCTGCCACCTGCTCCCCTCCTCATAGCGGGCGGCGCTGGTCCTGGTGGTCCTCCTCATCGCCGGGGGCCTCTTCATGTTCACCTACAAGTCCACGCAGTTCAACATGGAGGGCTTTGCCTTGGTGCTGGGGGCCTCGTTCATCGGTGGCATTCGCTGGACCCTCACGCAGATTCTCCTGCAGAAGGCGGATCTTGGTGAGAGCAGGCCCGGCACCAGGGGGTGGAGGCCGGTGGCCAGGCTGACGGCTCACCATGTCCCCGTTCCGTAGGGCTCCAGAACCCCATCGACACCATGTTCCACCTGCAGCCACTCATGTTTCTCGGGCTCTTCCCTCTCTTTGCCATATTTGAAGGTAGGTTGGGCCGTCCACCTCGGGGCACTTCAGTACAGCAGGCCCCCAACCCCCTCTCTGAGCCCAGCTGCAGAGGACACAGAGATCAAGTGCGGCCTCCCCTGGCAGTGCCTGGTTTGTGTGTCTGAACAGACACTTAAACCAAATGGCTAGAATCCAGCATGATAAACGTTACGTAGAAAATGTATGAAACATAGTAGACGATAATGATAGTGCACGTGTCCAGCCCCGGAGGTAGGCCAGGGCTGTTCTAATCGTTTTACATATATCACCTCTTTTAATACTCCCCAAAACCCCATGGGGCAGTACTATTAATATCCTCATCTTGCAGGTGAAAGAAACTGAGGCAGAGAGAAGTAGAGATAACCTTGCTTCGGGTCCCATGACTCCTAAACGAGCCTGAGCTTGGATCCAGGAGCTGGCTCCAGAGTCCCTCCTCTTAACCATTCCGCTGTGTTCTGCCTCTTAGGAGGAGAGGGTCAGGTGTTGTCTCAGGGTGGTAGGGTGGAAAGGCAAGGGGGAAAGGCTTCCCAGACAGTGTATCTGGGAGGATGAATGGGACTTGGACAGGCTGATGGGGGGTAGGAGGGAGCATCCCAGGAAGTGGAAACAGGTTCAGAGGAATGGAGTGTGAGCTGGATTGCAGGAGTGTGTATTGGGGGGCCAGGGGGTACAGGGAGTCTGGGCAGGTGAGCAGTTCCCCTCCACTGTCATCTCCCAGAGAGAAGAGCGGGGAGCATTGTCTAGGCTGGGAGGCGTACCACATCCTCCTTCCTCTGATGTTTGGGATTAGGCTTTGTCCCCTGTCTGTGTATCCTTCCTCCCAGAGCCCCTTCTGTCCTCAGGGTCATTACAGAAAATCCTGTCCCGCATCCACTTAAGTTGCAAGCAGTGAAGCGTCTCGAACCTCTGAGAAAATTATTTGTGGCCCCGTTGTCCAGGAAACTTCTGTTCTGCAGCCTCATTTTCTCTCTTTTTACAATCTCTCCCCATTGCTTCATTGTGTCCCCGGTAAAAACGCCACACTCTCCCTCCCTCCCTGGGTGTTTACACCGCTCCCCATCTCTGCAAACCCTCCCCCGAAAGCCCCTGAAAGCCCCTGGCCGTCGTCGTCGTCACTTAGCAAAGCTGCATGGATTTAGCTCCTTTAATCTTTTCTGGTAAATTAATCCCCCAAGCGCCTTCATTACTTATGTTGCTTTCCCCGAGTCCCTTCCATTTGCCCATGCCTTTGCAGTACTGCTGAGCCCAGCACCAGACAAGATGTCCTACATTGGAGGCTGTTTGCCTGGGGTTGGGGGGGTGGGGTGGGGGCTGTCACTCTGTGTTTCTATGGTGCTTCCCTCCAAAAATCTCAGGGTCCTTAGCCAGCCTCCTGCCCCGCCCCCCCCAGGTGTGTCCTTTGTGCCTAGACTGGGCTCACCTCGCATCCTGTTAATACTCCCGGGGCCTTTCCTGAAGGGAGGGACCCAAGGAATCATCCTCCCAGATGGACAGTGTTGGAGGGTCAAGAACCCTCTGAGAGTCTAAGCAAGTTCGCTGCCTGGATGCCTGTGTGGGTGTCTGGAGCGGGGAGCCGTGGCTTTTGTTGAGTATTTATATGCAGTGTGTGTTTTTTTGAGAACTGTTCATCAGATTATACCATCTGTTTGAGAAACATTGGTCTAGTCCCAACCGGTTCATTCTATTAGTGGGGAAACTGCTCCCAAAAGGGGGCGTGTCTCGGCCAATTCCCACTGCTGTGTGATAGTCAGGCCTGGATGAAGATGAGTTTTGCCCCTGTTTATAGGTGGCCCGCCTGAAATTGAGAACAGAGGACTCCCCCGCAGCCTCCCCACCATTGCCCAGGGGCTGAAAGTCCTCACGTGATGCCTGCCCACCTCTCTTGGGCCCATTGGTTATCACAGCTGCCAAGGCCATAGGAAGTCCACCCTCACCATTCGGACCGCAGATGGGAGGGAAACACCATGTGGAAGAGCTGGGTGCTCCTGTGGGTTGTCTGTGTGGTGCCGTCCCCTGTACTTAGCGCAGGGGCTCCGAAGCCCTCCTACCACTCCCTGGGCTCTGGCAGCCGTCCTTGCTTCCTGGTTGACCCACGTCTCGGGCCGTCTGCCTGAGCTTCTCCCATCCTTGTTGTCTTAGGAAGTGTGCCCCGCGCCGGGGCAGTTCTCACCCGGCTGCGGGAGGGTGAGGCCGCCCGGCAGGCACACCCAGGACATGGTCGCCCCTGTCTCCCCCATTGCTTTCAGGTCTCCATTTGTCCACATCTGAGAAAATCTTCCGTTTCCAGGACACAGGGCTGCTCCTGCGGGTACTCGGGAGCCTCTTCCTTGGCGGGATTCTTGCCTTTGGTTTGGGTTTCTCCGAGTTCCTCCTGGTTTCCAGAACCTCCAGCCTTACTCTCTCCATTGCCGGCATTTTTAAGGTACAGACTCAGGTGACCCCGTCCTGTCTCAGAGAGGAGCCCCTGAGGGTGTTTCTCACCAGCAGCTCCTGCACCCCAGGGCCTATAGGGAAGAGAGGGAAGTACCTCATGAGGGCGCTCAGTGCCATGCTCTCATCTGTACACCCGCCCTCACTGCAGCCCTGTGAGGTGGGGATGGTCATGAGACATGAAGAGCTGCTCCTACCCAGGAAAACAGCTAGTGGCCGAGCTGGGGTGCAGAGCCAGGTCCGACTCCACTGGGCTTGGGACGCGTTTACATTTACTAGGAATGCCAACTCGTCCTGTGGCAGCGGCAGGGAGCCATGGATTGAGAAGCCCCCATTCAGACTCATCAGTAACAAGTTCTGTGATTGATTGGTGATGTCTGCCATGGGCACAGCCAGGGACAGTTAAGTCATTAGTGCTTGCCTGGCCTGCCTTTACTTCTCTGCCATGGGCACAGCCAGGGACAGTTAAGTCATTAGTGCCCTGTGCTTGCCTGGCCTGCCTTTACTTCTCCCTGGCAGCGTTCTTGCCTCTCCTCTTGTCACTTCCCTCCACCACACGCTGTGGGGGAGTTTGCTCTTTGATCCTGGAGCAGTGCTGCCTAAAAGCAGAAACGTAGGAGCTCCCCAAGGGTCTTCTGGTTGCCAACCAAATGATGAGGCAGAAGCCATGGTTCTCAGAATGAGTCATTTCACAGTGCCATTTGCAGCCATTGTGTGCGAAGAACCCCAGGACCAGTGCATGTCCCACAAAGCCCTGTATGACGCTGCATTCTCCCCCGGCAGCTGAGGGCTCCCCACAGCTGTACCTTCCGGAAGGGCTCTCCTTTATTCCTGTGGACACAGCTGCATTTGGTTGGTCTCCTTTTATCCTGGCAGTTCTGTGAAAGCATCTCCTTTGTTTCATCTCAGTAACACAAAGGAGGAAAGCATTACAGCAGGCCCCATGCAAGCTTCTCTTTGCCCTGCAGGCCAGCCGCCCTGGCCTGGGAGTTTGGGCGAGTCTGGCTCTCTCCTGTGGTTGTGCTTAGTGCCTGGCCCTCTTTGCAAAGGGGCCAACTCATCCCACCGATCACTTCCCCTTCCTGCTTCTCTGCCCGCAGGAAGTCTGCACTTTGCTGTTGGCAGCTCATCTGCTGGGCGACCAGATCAGCCTCCTGAACTGGCTGGGCTTCGCCCTCTGCCTCTCGGGAATATCCCTGCATGTCGCCCTCAAAGCCCTGCACTCCAGAGGTAACCTGAGCCCCTTTCCTACGCCTGCATTCAGAACATTCTCCCCATGACTCAGCTCCTCTGATTTCCTCTCAACCCAGCCCTTCCGGGAAGAGGCAAGTGGCCCTCGGCTTCCCCAAGTAGTTCCAATCTGCACCGTTCAGTTGCCTCTGCAGGGGCTGCTGCTCTCCTCAGCATGCTGGAGTCATCCCTAAGGGACTGGGGAGGGGGGCCCGGGTGACAGCACACACATCAGGGCACAAGACGCTGATTGGGGCTGTAACTGGTGTCTCTTCATCCCCAGGTGATGGCGACCCTAAACCCTCCAAGGGGCTGGGCTCCAACCCCGACCTGGAGCTGCTGCTCCGGAGCAGCCAGCCAGAGGAAGGGGATAATGAGGCGGCGGAGGAGGACTTTGTGGCCCAGGGATAGCAGCGACCAGCCCGGGGAGCAGCTTTGAAGCAGGCCGCTCCCAGTCTTCATGCTGACGGAGCTCAGGGACCAGGTGGTTTCTCACAGCAGCTGGGAGCAGCAGGCCAGCAGTGTCCACGCTGGGCCTCGGGTAGCACGGGACCCATGGTGGGGCCGAGTCGGAGAGTTGGTCCGACCCCGCTGTGCTGGAGTTGCAGCGGAGGAACGGAGGGCTGTTCTCAACTGCTTGCCAGGCTCTGGCTGCCAAGATCATGATTTCAGAGGCATCACAGGTGTCTAAGGGGCCCGGGCCTGGACTGCAGAGCAGTTGGGAAGGGGAGATGGAGAGCTGGGGGCTTACCACCTGGACAGCTCTTTGCTCAGAGAGCAGATCTATTTATAGTTTGGAAATAAAGGGTTTACAGTCCACTAGTCACTTCATGTTGCCTGGAGGGGTGGGGGCAGGGAGGGGCAGTTGGCCTGGCCTCTCCTTCCTCTGCCTGGGGAGTTTGGAAATAAAGGGTTTACAGTCCACTAGTCACTTTATGTTGCCTGGAGGGGTGGGGCAGGGAGGGGCAGTCGGCCTGGCCTCTCCTTCCTCTGCCTGGGCCCTCGCAGGTGACTGGCCAGACCCCAGCCTTCCCATCACGTGTACTCCTGCTTGAGCCCAGGACCCTCTCGGGGCCCAAGCACACCTGCAGGCAGAAAAGTGAATATGCGCTGAGCACCGTATTCTGGGGACCTTAAAGCTTTCACAGCCTGACTGTCACTTATCACCCATGACCTGAACCAAGTTACTTCACCTCTCTGTGAAATGGGGGTAATAATTGTCTCAGAGTTGTTCTGAAGATTGGAAACAGTTTAAATATTATATTAGTGTTTATTTTGAAAATCCTTTCAACAACCGTGGATCCAAGTCCCTAAATGAGTGGCCGACGTACGGTTCACAGCACCAGTGTTTGTCCGTGAAACACATGTGGACGGGGTGATGGGCCTCCAGGCCTTCCCATCACCTGCCCTGGACGAGTCACACAGACTGCTGTCTTTATCAAGTGGGGAGGGAAGAGACAAGCACCCGGCTCTGATGTGCTCTGGTTCTGAGGCCTGGCCTGCTCCTGGGAGCCGGTTCCCCTGGATTGGGAGGGATTGCTGGCCACGGGGTGACATCCTCCCAAGCACAAGTGCTTGTGGGCCTTCACAGCAGGTGGCGCCATCGCACCACGAGGTGACGCCAGCACTGGGAGAACCACCACCACCCCCCCAGCCCAGGCAGGAGGGTATGGGGGTCTGCGCAGGGCAGCCTGTTGGGAACTGTTCTGATAGATTGGAGCCATGAGAGCCCCTTTTAAGCCTAGGAGAACGTTGGTGTTTGAGGAATGGGACCGGCAAACTTTGGAAAGGGCTAGATAGTAAATATTTCCCATTTGGGGACCATCTGGTCTCTGTTGCAGCCTCTCAAGTCTGCCGATGTAGCAGGACAGCCGCCATAGACAGATCCAGAAACAAACGGGCAGGCTGTGTTCCAGTGGAACCTTATTTACAGGAATAGGACTCGGCGTGTTGGCTGCAGTTTGCCAACTCCTGCTGAAGAAGAAACCTTAAGAATTGTTGAGTCCCACCCACTCCCAGTCCACGGAGGCAGGGGGTAGGTGCCGTGACTAGTCTGAGGTCCTCAGAGCCTCCCGGCTCGAGTTGAGCTTCACTGCAGACTTCTCCCGTTCGTGGAGGTGTGACACGAAGGTGCCTTATCTGGTTCCTGCACCTCTGCTCCCCTGGATTCTGCAAGCTCAGGCCAGGATTAAAGGAAGCTCATGTTCCACGAGAGATGATGTGGGGCGAGCTAGCAAAACGGAGGGACCAGGACCCCTCCCTCCTGCCTCTGCTTGGGAGGCGGGTTGGGATGCAGGATGCTTGGGCTGCAGAGAGCCTGCCAGAATCCCCTGGCTTAGGTGGGTGAGAGCTTCCTGCCTGCCCCTCCCCACACCGTCCCCCTCTTCCCACACAGGGAGCAAAAGCTGCTGTCTGGTGCAGTAATTACAGGGTGCAGAGCAGGGGCCGGTGCTGTGCCGCCTGCATGTTAGGTTCAGTGACAGCCCCTCACTTAGCAGCAATTACCAGCTGATCCTAGAGGAGGGCTCCCTCCCTGTGCCCCTCCCCGCTTCCTGCCAGCCCTATTGCCTGGCCTTCCAGGCCAGACCCTATTCGCCTTCAGCTTGGAGCCCTAGAAGCACCCATGCTGTCTGCAGCCATTGCATCTCAGGGTTGCATTGTTGCCATGGTAACTCAGTGCTTGCACAGGTTTCAGGAAGCTCAGGCTGTGACTTGTCTCCAAGGCTGTGCTGTCTGTCCCCAGGAAGCCTACAGCTCCAGGGCTTCTGCAGAGGAGGGAGGAGGGAATGTGGGCTGACCGGCAGGTTCGAGTTTTAAGTGCTTACATGCCCACCGTCTCTCCCGGGAGCCTACCACGGAAGGAAGGTTATTGCCCCCAATATATGAGGATGTCTGTAGCTGAGGTCGTGGTGGGATGAGAACGAGCTGGAGCTCGCCCGTGGGAGAAACCCGCGACGGCAGGCAGGGCCTGGAGTGCCTTCATCTTCATTCTGGTACCCTTCTCCGCTGTGAGGGCGCAGGGCATCACCTCCATCTGTTTCTGCTCCATTCTTCTGAGGGGGAAAAAAAAAGGAAACTCCCCGTGGCCTGAGAGTAGAGTTACACAGAACCAAGAGAACAGCCTGTGATGCTTGCCACAGCTTGCTGCATCCTGGACTACTGATGGGCTGGGTTGGGTCCCCAGTGTGCAGAGAACTGAGGGTGGGGATGCAGATCATCCATTTGGGTTGATGGCATCCCGGGAGTGCTGATCCCATGCCAGATACTGAGCTGAATTTGGGATAGACAGTCCTTGGAGAGATGGCAAATGGGGCCATCCTTCTTCCCAGCCCAGGGAGGTGTTGAGGCAGGGGACCAGCGAAACGGGGAGAACAGAATGGACCGGTCACTGGGCACCTTCGAGGTCACTGGGCATCCTGCTGGTGGGGCTGTGCCTTTCTCCGGGATGTCTGACTATTTAATCCCTAAATCCCAGTGCAGTAGGAATTGACTGTACCCATTTCACAGCTGTGGAAACTAAGCTCACAGAGGTTAAGCATGATGGTGGCTGAGAACGCACCTCAGAGACTCCACCAGACCTGGATTCACACCTCTGCCCTGTGACAGCGGTGTGTCTTGGGCATGTTGCTGATCTCCTCTGAGCCTGTTTCCTTGTCTATGAAGCAGGAACCCTAATACCTCCTAATGAAGCTGTTGTGAAGATGAAATGTCTTAAACGGCAGCACAGTGCTGGGCACATAGGAATAGCCACTTAGTAAAGGTCAGCAACGAGGAGGTGACATAACTTGCCCATGTGACAGAGCAAGTGAGAGGAGGAGCAAGCACGGAATGCTGCCTGCTCCAGTGCCTGGCCCAGCGGAGGCCTGAATAGATACTTGTTCTGTGAAGGAATTTCCAACAGTGGGAATTGGGATTTTTTGAGTCCCGGGGACCGTCCTAACTTCTAAATGATTTGTCCTGCAAGGACAGGACAAGCTGTTCCCCACCTCCACCACCCATTTCCGCCAGCCCCTGGCCCCGCAGCCGTCCTGAGCCCTCACCCTGACATGAGTCAGGCCCCTTGGCCCCTGCTTGGCAGTACCCAGTTAGCTTGACTCCTGGTCCCATGGTTATCTGCAGTTTCATTGGCAACTAGTGCCTTTCCCAGGAACAGACCCACAGCCTTGGTTCTGCTGGCATCCTGCTGGTGGGGCTGTGCCTTTCTCCGGGATGTCTGATGAGAACTCTCCTGCTGCGACAGCAGAGGGACCAAAGAGAGAACCAGGGGAAAGTGCATTGCAATGCATTTAATAAATTCTAGAGCAGCGGTCGCCAACCTTTCGGACCTCACAGACCACCAGTGAGGTGGCGACTACTGTTCTAGAGCGTGGACAACGCGCCCTGCCCAGTGAGAGCTACTGGAGACGTGGGAGTCATTACGACGCTGCCGCTGCCATTGTCCGCAGGCAGCTTCTGCGGGACCTTTTAACCAGTGGGTTTCCTGGAAGCGGACTCAGGAGATTAGGGTGCAGGATGTCATTTAGGAAACGGTCTTGGGAAAAACATGTGGAAGGGAGTAGAAGGATGCAGGTTTTGGGAGCAGGAGAAGCTGAGTCCCCACAAAGGGCTCAGGACCCCACAAGGAGCCCTGGAGCTGAGCCAACCCTTCAGACTTGTCCCAAGGTGGGCTGCGGCCTGTGCATTTCCACTCTGATCTGCCATTGGAGGTGGACCTACCCCCGGCAGGAGCTGTGACTTTGGCTGAGGCTGTTTTCTTCCAATGAGAATTTCGCTGAGGACCGACTCCCAGTCCCACTGCAGCAGGGGAACCACTCATTCCCAAAGGGGATCGGAACAGCTCATCACAGCCTCCACCACACCCAGGGCCACGGGTTGGCTTCACAGATGACCAGGGGTCCCTGAAGCAGGGTAGAAACCACACCTGACATGAACGTGCATGTGTGCATTTTCGGGGGAAGAGTGCCTTTGACCCCCCAAAAGATTAAGAACCACCGGTCTAGGGAAAGTCAGGCTTATCCACAGCTTAAAAACCACATGATCACGGATGAGCCCTATAGGTGCTCAGTATAGACGATGGATGGATGATGAGTGGATGGATGGACAGACATCATAGAATTATTGGGAGACGGACTGCAGAGCTTGTGCGGAGAAACCAATTCTGCCTCGGGCAGGAGAGCAGAGATTTTCAGGAGGAGCTGACCATTTTGAACTGAGTCTTGAAGACTGAATGAGCGTTGCCAAGCAGGCATAAGGGTAAAGCATACCAGGCGGGGAGGGGGGGGGGATGAGGAGGGGAAGGACAGAGGCACGAGGATGGTGTGTTGGGTACTGTACTAGGAGTTAGTCCATCTGGGTAAGAGGAGGGAGTAAAGCCCCCAGGTCCCCCCGGAGGTACCCTGATAGGAATTGTCCTCCCAAGTTGCTCTCAAGCAAGCAGGTACCTCTCCCCCCACCCCCAACACTCAGCGGGGGCCAGTACCTCTGGGTGGGGGAGGGGAGGTCTTAAAGGTAATAGCGCACCAGTGACAGCATCAGCTCACTCCTGCAGCCCACCCCTGGGAACTCGGTGGTACTGGCTGGCCCACTTTCCAGGTGACAAACAGGAGCCTCTAGACAACTTCCCAAGGTCACTCACCTCACTAGCTCCCAAGAGCAGCGGGAGCCCTCCCCGGGGCTCACCCCCACTCCCCACCCCAGTGCCCCGCACAGGGCACAGGGCTGTTTGGGATGCCAGCTCTCCACCCTCCTCGGATCGGGCTTCTCTGGTTACGGGCATAAGAGTGTCCCCCTGTGGTGGCCGAGGGGCGGCAGGGGCAGCATCCCGCGGGCCCTATTTTGCTCTGGGAGGAATCCCCCCTGAGCCAGAGCCTCGTCCTGTGGCAGGGCTGCCCCATGAATTAAACATGCCCCCGTGGTTAACTCAGTAATGCTTTTATTAATAGTTAATTACTCAGTGCGCACTAGGGAAATGAGACTCACTCAGGCCTCGTAAATTAAGACAGTGATCTCGTGAAAAAGCCAATGGGAGTTCATTACCCAGCCCCTCCCATCGCTGTACCTCTGGGTTTGCCATTTAGCGGCGCTAAAGGAGATGCAGGGGTGAGGGGTGTGGGGACAGGGACCTTCCCAGGGTGGAGCTGGGATGTGGACAGTGAACATCACCAGTTTCCTGGAAGAGGAAGGCCGGAGGGGCAGGGCGGAAGTGTCCGCTGGAGATGTTATTCCTGCAGCTGGTCATCAGACTGTGTTCCTCATCACTTCTGGGGACTCGGCACAGCCTCCAGGGAGTCCCCTACAGGGCAAGGCCACCTGGCTCAGGTGTGGGGCTCCCTCCTGCGGCCCAGGGGACAGGAGCACCCCCTCCCCTGTGGTGGCCTTCCTCATTTCACAGTGCGGGGACGGATGTCCCCTCCTCGGCTTTTGTTGTGGTTGAAGCCAGTTTCCCATCCTGCGTTTGCCGCTGAGCTGGAAAAGGGGCCGTTCTAACCTGGTTTGGTTTTTCTAAACGTAACTTCCTCCCACGTTTTGTTTCCCAGAAGACAGGAGCCCCTTGTTCATCGTCCTGGGACACCAGAGCCAACACCTGCTTCGAACCTACCATGTGCCAGGACCTGGCCCTCTGGCTCATGCTCCTTAGCTCCGATTCTTAGCTGTGTGACTTTGGGCCAGCAACTGCACGCCTGGGCCCATTTCCTCGTCTGGAATTAGAGAGAACAGCAATACCTCTGTGCGGAGTTACTGCGATGATTAAACAAAGTAATACACGTCAAGTACTGGGTACACCGCCCACCACAAATTCTCCCTAAGTGGCAGCTATTATGATCTTCACACCATGCTGCCATTTTACAGGTAAGCAAAGTGAGGTTTTAGGTGCATTCTGTTGCCTAAGGACACATAGCCCAGAACTCCATGTTGCCAAAGCTCATCACTTCCTCCTAAGGGGGCAAAGTGGGGGGGTGGGGGGTGGTAATCGCCCTTAGAAGAGCACATTGACCAAGTCCGGACCCAGGAAAGATCTGCCCTCTGTGCCCAGGCCCCAGCCCCACCCAGGCAGCCTGGTGGGCAACGCCAGCGTGCACAGGCTCTGCAGTCAGCCTGACCGAGTCCAAACCCTGCCACACCCCCTACCCGTCACAGGGACCCAGAGCCTCAGCTTCCTCTTCTGACAGTGGGCTCCCGATTACACCTACCTCCTCGCGCAATCGAAGGATTTCTGTTTGAAAGTGCCTAACATCTGGTAGCCTTGTTTCAGAACTCTGCACCTGGTTTCTTTATATGTAACCCGGGGATCACAAAAAGCCTCGCGCGCTGGGCTGCTGGAGCCCCGCGGAGATAATGGGCATCACTCAGCCTGGCAAGCAGGGACCTGGAAACTGGCGAGCAGCAGGTGTTCCTGGTCAAGGCCCCTCCAAGGGCAGGGATGTCGGGGAGCCTGGGGGGGGGGGGTTGAATGCTGTCCCCGGTGGATGCAATGACCCTGGAGGAGGGCTCTCCTGGGTCAGGTGATGAGGAGGGTTGGGGACAGAGCACCTTCAGAAACCCACACTGGCCACCAGGTGCTTTGCAGGTGGAGGTCAGCCTCTCTGCTGTGACCCCCCCTCTCCCCACAAGCTGCCAGAGCCACATGTAGGCGAGGAGTCCTGGGCGGGAGATTGAAGCCTCCCCGGGAGAGAGTGCGGCTCTGGGTTCATATATAATATGTAACGTCAGATTTAAATGTCACTGCTGCAGGCGGCTGACCCGGGTCCCCACACAATGGGCCGCGAGGGGCGCCTCCGCTGCCTCTTCATCTTCCTGGCAGTTGCTGACCAAAAGAAGGGAGATTTGGTTCCTTAAAAAACTAAACAGTGTTGAGCACTCTGGTGTTGCCTGGGCAACAGCTGAGGGGGAGAGAGAAGCATCTTATTGTTTAAAGTTATTCTTGTTCCATTTCAAAGGCCTGTTCTGAAAAGGACTGCATTGTCCAAGCAGCCCGGCTGGTCCTCTCTCTCCTCTGGCCTGCTGTGCGTTCCCAGTCCTGCTTCCCCTCAGCCCTCAGCCCAGCCCCAGGCAGTGGGGATGGTCACAGCCGTGCTGGACAACTGGGCACCAGAGACTAGTTCCTTCCTGTGCTCTCTGCTTTCTCCCCCAGGCCCAGAAGGGCTCACGCCGCATGGAGCATCCGAGTTCCCCGGGCCTGGGCTGCTTTTCCAGCTCCCCGCCCCCCCCCCCTCACATGGCCATATGCACAGGAGTGTGGCTCAGTGACTTAGGGGTCGGCTCACAGAAGTGCCTGATCCTGGAGGGCCACGGGGTCAGCCATATAACAGAGGTGGGCATCTTGGTTCTGAAGCCCAGCCAGGAGTGAGATGAAGGTGGTCATGGTCATTGCTTGGGGGAAGCCAAGTGGTACCTTGTGTCCCTCTGCCCCTTATGTGCCATTGCATTGGAATTGCTAACTCATTCCTTTTCCCCATGAGACTGTCAACCCCCCAACAGCAGGCTGTGTCTATTCATCCCTGTGCATTCTTGTAAACTGCCTCAAATCCTTTCAGGAGCAAGGCAAATTCTGAAAATCCAGATGAGATGTACATATATTTTTAATTAAAAAATGTTTAGTGAGTACATATGCATGATACAAAATTCAGAAGGTTTTAAAGGAATAAATATCCACGACTTCTGATACCCATTTTCCCTCTGGGGGATAGTCATGGTTTCCAGCTTTCAATGTATCCTTCCAGAGATATTCTGTTCAGATAGAGGCAAATGGGTTTCTTTATATGTAACCCGGGAAATACATTATTCACATGCCTAGCTCTTGTGTCTAGCACAGGGTCCAGCACATAGTAGATACTTTATAAAACTTTGTCAGATAGATGGATGCACAAACAAACAGGTTGGATGGATAGGTGGATGGTGGATGAGTGGGTGGGTGGATGGATGAATGGTGGATGGACAGATGGATGGGTAGTTAGATGGATAAATGGATGAATGAATGATTGGATAGATGGATGGATGCAGGATTGATGGATGGATGGGTGGATGAGTAGGTGGATGGATGGATAGATGAAGGGGTGGATGGATGGATGGTGGCTGGATAGATGGGTGAATGGATGGTTGGATGAATGATGGATGGATGGGAGATAGATGGATGAATGGGTGAATGAGTGAGTGAATGGATGGATGGATGCATGGATGGGTAGATGGATGGGTGGATGGAGGACTGGGTGGGCAGGTAGGTGGATAGGTACAGCTCTTTTTTCCCCCCAGATGTCTGTGTTCCCCAATAAGAAGTTCCTTCAGAGAAAGATGGCAGATCCAGCATTAGACATGTTGAATCTCAAGGAGTGAATGGATGGATGGATGGATGGATGGGTAGATGGATGGATGGATGGATGGAGGGCTGGGTGGGCAGGTAGGTGGATAGGTACAGCTCTTTTTTCCCCCCAGATGTCTGTGTTCCCCAATAAGAAGTTCCTTCAGAGAAAGATGGCAGATCCAGCATTAGACATGTTGAATCTCAAGGGTCTATGTTATTCAGATGGAGACATTCAATAAGCAGCTGAATTGTGGTTTTATCAGGTAAGAGTTTTATTCTGCTGCTAACAGAAACCCAACTACAATGGCTTGAATCCATTTTCTTTTTCTCAGGATGAGAAGTTCTAATAGAGGTATAGCCCCCAAGGATATCAGGGTTGAGGTCACTGTGATGCCCTTGATCTTTCCCTCATGGTCTCAAAAGAGGTTTTGGGGGAAGGAGCCTCATCATCAAGTCTGTGTTCTAGGGAGGAAGAAAGAAGAAGAAGAGAGGCTGTAGGGTGAGTCAACCTCCTATAGAAAGCCTGTTCCTGGAAGTCCCACCCAGTGACTTTTAATTATATCTCCCTGGCAACTCCTAGATGCAAAGGGGACTGGGATATGTGGCTTTTAAAAAAATATATATTTTATTGATTTTTTACAGAGAGGAAGGGAGAAGGATAGAGAGTTAGAAACATCGATGAGAGAGAAGCATCGATCAGCTGCCTCCTGCACACCCCCTACTGGGGATGTGCCCGAAACCAAGGTACATGCCCTTGATTGGAATCGAACCTAGGACCCTTTAGTCCCCAGGCCGACGCTCTATTCAGTGAGCCAAACCAGCCAGGGCATGGGATATGTGGCTTTTGAGGTGTGGACATTATTCCCAGATAATATTGGGGATCTATTATATTAGTAAGGAGGAAAGAGGAACTGGGTAGAGTCAGCAACTAGCAGCCTCTGCTACCTGAGTGGAGAGTCAGAGGAGAGTTCTGGGCCTGAGGATGGACACAGCAGGAAGGTGCACCCAGGGAAGAGCATATGCTAAGGCACAGAGGTGTGAAAGCTCCGGTGCGTCCGCATCACATTCCGGCTAAGTCCTGTTGGCTCCAGCTTCTAAACTTCTCCAGAAAGGAACCACTTCTCCCCTCCTGCCCTGGTCCAAGCCACCATGATCTTCACCTGGATCAGAGCAGCAGCCTTGTACATGGTCTCCCTGCTCCCTCTGGCCCACTGCCCAGTGCCCGGTTCTCTGTCCAACATTTACAGTGACTCCTGATCCATACATTGGAGACTGGCTCCCTGCTCAACACCCTACAGTAGCTTCCATCTCACTCCGAATGAGACCCCAAGCCCTCACCAAGGCCTGCAAGGGGTTACTTGACGTAACCCCTGCTTCCTCTCCTGTAGACGGCTGGAATGGCACCAGGTGTCTGGCCCTTGGGGTCAGACCAAACCTGGGTTCAGCAACCTCAGTACTTGGGTTCTGGCAAGGAAAGAATTCAGAGTCTAGACCCAAACTGTAAGAGAACATTTATTGGGTAAATTACAGAGGTAGAAAAAGTAAGTCCTAGAAGAAATGGTCTTAGCAAACAAGTTCTAGACGTAGAGGAAGGGCCCTTGGAGCTGGGGAGTGAGGAAGCTAATGGTAAGTGCCTGGGGCAGGGAAGGGGAAGTCGAAGGCACAGGTGTGCTCCCAAGAGGGAGAGGCACTGGGTCCTCCCCCTAAGGGTTTTAAGGGTGGAGATTTTAGGGGAGGTCCCAGGGGGAGGTCTCCATAGAATATTCAGCAGCTTTCCAGGAGTGTCCTTTCAGAGTTGTGGTCTCCCCTGATTGATTGGTCAGCACCGGGGCAGGGGTCATTATTCAATGCAGCTGGTCCTGAGTCTGGTTTTGTTGTTTTTCTGGGCTTGGAACTGAAATACAACTGAGGCCTAGAAGTTATCTCTAGGGAGGAAGGGTCAGGAGAGTCACCCTGGGGGTGAGGTCCCACCTACAATTGATTGTCCGTTGCTAGGCACCTGGGGCTTTCCACCCAGGTGACCTTCTGTACCTGGCCCATCGTCCTTGCTCTGCTCACGTCGGTCTAACTGCCTACAACTCCTCTGTCTCCCCCGTTGGTCACTTCACTCCAGCCATGCTGCCTCTGGCTGCTTCCCACGCCACTAGCTGTTCACACGCCCAGAGTGAACATCATTCAGAAGCTTCACGTGGAGGCTCCTCTGCCTCCTCCAGGTCAAATATCACCTCCCGGGAAAGGTCGCCTGACCATTCTACCCAGCCCCCTCCTCGCCATCACTCTCTTCTCCAGGATTTAACCCATTTGGGACCACAGGCTCCTAGGCCTCTGGTGAAGCCAAGAGACCCCTTCCCAGATTCGGGGAAGAAAATATGTAGAATTACAAAGGAAATCAATTATATTGAAATACAGTTTTCAAAACATTTGCAAAACAAATGTGTGATGTAGTGCTACAGTGCTTCTTTATTAATGCATTAAATAACCAGATCCGGAGGCAGCTCTAGTAACCACCACAATTTTGAAGCAATGATGAGTGTCAGTGGTATTTTGAAACATCCACAACTCTAACGTGATAGGAGGTATCTGATTTCTGCTGGCGACAGTCACAGGCATTGCTAATACGACCAAGGTGTGTGGCCAACATTTATCATTGGAGAGAAACGCTGTATTTCAGTTAAAGGTTAATGTAACAAAAAGCTAATTTCCTCCCCCACCCCCCACCCCCCCACACCTAACTTCACCAACTCCGTGAATTCTGTCTATGGATCCCTTGGGGGGAGTCTGGGTTGTTGTGTATTTTTTAAGTCTCTTTCTTTGCTTGACATTACACATTTATTTGTTAACTTGCTTACTGTCAGTGTCTCCCAGGAGAGTAGAGATTGGATCTGTTCTGCTCGCTGCTGTCTCTTCAGTACCTAGAACACTGCCAGACACATGAGTGATCAATAAATATTTTTTCTTTTTTAAATGAACAAGCAAGAGAGATAAGGCTGGAGAGACAGGGAGGCTGGAGCTAGATGTGAAGGGCCTTGAATGTCACACTCAGGAGTGTGGCTGGGACCCCGGGAGGGGAGATGGGCCCTGGGCAGGTCACTGTCCCCAGGGCAGCCAGGCTGACAGGATGACAGGGAGGTGAGTGGACTGAGCCTGCCTTCGGAGGCAGCTTTCTGAGGGAGGCGCAGGCATAAACCACGTCAATCGTGAATGTCGGCAGCCACCTCACTCTCTGCTGGCCCGTCTCCTCCTTCCAGCCTCCCTGGGTGTTACACAGGGAGCTTGCAGAGGCCGGCCCAAAGCACTGTCTTCATTCTCCGGAGAGTCCCGGGCAGTAATGGTGTGCCAGGCAACAAGGGCAGGCCCGAGGCCTGAGGAGGCAGTGGGGGCTGGGAAGGGAAGGGAAGAGAAGGGGAGCCCCAAAGGCTCATGGCTCGCCTTGGGGACAGCGACCCGCTACCGCAGAGGGACTTGTGTGCCAGACCCTGAAGCCAAGGAGGAGACCAGTCCCCCCTCCCAGACTGAGCTGGCTATTTAGGGCCGTGGGTTCTACGGCGACCCAAGAACCCGGGGGAAGAGCAAACTTTTGGAATCAGACCGACTGGGTGGAATTCTGGAATGGCCACTTGCTCTTTAATCGCAGGCTCTCGTACAAATCACCTAGCGCTCCATGCCTCTCCACGTCTGTAAGTGCGGGTGCATGAGGATTCAATGGGGAACATCCTGGATCTAAAGCAGCCGACTCAATGTCAGGTGCGTGGTAGACAATCAACAAACAGTTGCCCTGTCACTGTTAACCTATAGCAGATGACTGGCCAACGGGGCCAGTAGTCCCTCTACTGCTAGCTGGCACTACTGTAATAATAATCCACTTGATCCCTTGGAGCGGGGAGTGGAAGCTGGTGGCACAGAAGCCAATAAGACCAGAGTGGAGAGAAAAAACAAGCTCTGGAGACAGCAGATTGGGTTCAAGCCCAGCTGTGTGACCTTGAGTCAGCCACCTCTCTGAACCCCAGGTCCAAAAACAAGGATGGTGCCTTCTTCCCCTAGTGCCCACGTCTGTCTGTGAGGATTATGGGACAGGAGCGATGTGTGAAAGGCCGCAGGGAGAGGGCCTGCCCCGAGGGCCACACGCACCACAGTGCCCGCGAGTACAGGATCACAGTCCCAGCCCGTGCAGCGGTTCACACGCTAGAGAGCCCTCCTTCACATCCATCATGCGTTGGAGCCTCACTCCAGCGCTTCAGGATGGACAGGGCTGCGTCTGATCCACATTTGACCACTGGACGCAAGAGCTCAGGTGGGGGTGGACTCACAGAGCTCTCTGCTCAGAGGCCACTCAGCCGTGAGATTCCGGGGGCTGGGAAGCCAGGTGGCTCAGTCGCTGTCTCTTTTCAGATCAGCCACTCGGGTGTGTATTCATTCAACATGGATTCCCCGAGCTGCGCCCCGGGATGCGGCAGTGACTGGGCAGACGCGACGCTGCTCTCGAGGAACTTGGAGCCTGGTGGCCTCAGGCTTCTTCCCACTCCATTGATCGCAGGAAGACCCATGTCTGCTCGTGGTGACAGCTCAGGAAGTGCCCCGCATGCAGGTTCCGGCTCCGTGCCCACCTGGGGCAGCAAGCAGGTCAGGAACAGAAGAGCTCTCTGCCCTTGGGGATAAATCACTAATAAACCCAGAGGTAGACACGAGGAGCCTAGCATGAACATGAAATCTAAAATGAAGGATTCTGTGGCCAGAAGCGTTCAGGAAAAGCCACTCTGAGAGTCAGGCCGCTTTGGCACATGCTACAGGCTCTCAGGAAAGCCAGGCAGGAAAGACCTGCCTCACCCGATGCTTCCCACACCTACTTGACCAAGTGAACCTTTACTTCAAGCCACACCTACTCACCTTGGACGAGGCCAGGGCAGTGGAAAGGACATAGTGCCTAGAGCCAGGGGCCTGGGTTCGAAGCCCAGTCTTAGATTTGATTTGCACGTGATAAACATTATAACCCAGAGGAGGGAAGTGACTTGCCCAAGGTCACTCAGCACCAGGCCCAGAGCCCAGGCCTTCGAGTTATTGTTAACGTGAGAGGCGTCCTGTGCTTCCCTCTGAGAGGCATAGCCTGACCCCCTTGCTGGGGGGGGGGGTTAGTTCGGGTCTCCTAGCCACACAGGGCCTTTGAGCACATTACAAAAGGCACCTCCTTCTCAGGGGTCAACACATCCCTTGTCAGGGCACGTGAGTTGGTAAAGCGTTCTGTGGGCTGGATTTCAGCCCCCAGTTGTCCCCTGGGCCAAGTATCCCATGGCAACCCTTGTTAGCCCATTTCTCCTCCTTCCCCCTCACCCCTTCCATCCCATTCTTCACCTGAGCCGCAGCTCCCTGCAGGGTCCCAGGTTGAGCTGCCATGGGAACCACCCAGTTGTTGGGCTGCATTTCCCAAGCCCCCAAGTGGCAGCGGCCAAAGGTGCTGACTCAGCAAACTTTAATTTATCTCACAGGCCAGGGGTGTGCGTGAAGCAATTAGTGAAATAATGGTTATGTCGCACTAAAAATTATTTATAGAGTCACCGTGCACACAGCTGTGATTAAATTAGACAACCAGGGGGACTTTAACTGCCAATGGAGCCGGCATCCAAGGCTCAGACTCCAGCTGGTTGGGGTGGGTGGGGTCACTTCTCCCCCTTCACTCACCGCCCCAGGCAGGCCAGCCCAGCCTGACTCAGGCAGGGATAAGGAGGGTCTGCATGGGCAGGGGTATGGGGAGTGGTCCCATCCCACGAACTCTGAGCTGTCAGGACCCTTAAGCATAGACAAGTCAGGGGCTGCACACATATCTGAGGCTTTGAAGCAGCTAAAACACCTTCAAATCAAGTCTTCCCCTGCCACTCAATGAGCAAAAGGGAAGTGGTCTGGGTGAATTAGACAAGATGATCCTGGAGCCCCATGGGCTTGGCAATGACCCCAACGGTGGACCCCGAGAGCCCAGAGCCACGCTGTAAACCGTAGATCAATCCAGCCTTCTTTTACAGGCGGCAAACTGAGGGCCAGAGATTTCGCCACTTTTGTCCCCCTGGCAGGTGTCAGGAGACCTTTGTTCCAGCCCTGGGTCAGGGGGAAGCCCTGGAGCCTTCTCTGGACCCAATGTATCCCCGGAGAGTTCGTTAGGGGGCGTCTACAGGAGTGAACAAATGTTTCTTGAGCACCTATTGCATACTCTTTCTATATTTATTGTCTTATTCATGTTTAGGTTTATATTTCTATTTAGCTCCTTAAAACATTACTGTAAGGTAAGTACTCCTGTTCCCATTTACAGATGGAGAATCTGAGGCTCAGAGAGGTTAAGGTATTTGCCCACAGCCACACAGCAGGTGAGGGCAGAGCCGTTTTCTACAGGCCCATCTGACTCCAACGATGGAGCATGGTGGTACTTTGGGCATTTTAGGGCACCTTCTGGGTGCCCCACATTGTGGGGGATGTGATGCTGAGAAATGATAATGGGGCTTCTTTCACACTGGACCCTACGCCAGACACTGGACATGCACCATCTCATTTCAGCAGCAACCCCTCAGGTACCCATGGGGAAGCAATCACAGAGCATTCCATGCATGGCTCCCAACCCCCAGCTTGTGAGTGAGTGTCAAGGGTTACGTCCTCAGCGGGTCTCCATCTTTCTCATGTGCAGGCGCCGCCCCCCAGGTAGGAGCCAGGTCCGAGCTACCTGAGTGATTCCAGGCTTCTCCCAGTGAGTGAGGAGGGGATTGGCAGCCCTGAGCGGTGGCGGCTGGGGGGGGAGTGTTGATGCCATTGGGAGGCCCTGACTCCCAGCCTGGCGCCAACCCAGGCCCCACATCTCGGCACTTCCATCCTCCCCCTCTGAGCTAAAGATGGTTTCTGACCATTTCCCAAGAGCTGTAGCCTTGGTCATCTTTTAACAGCCAGGGCCCTTTGCAGACCTCACTGGGCCTCTCTCCAAACAAGGCCCTGGAGGCTCGGAGCAGTGACTGACTGAGCAGGATTCTGAGGCCCCTCTCACCCACCCCCAGTGTCCCTCCGCCTCCTCTGTTCCAGCACTTTCCCTATGCCCCTCATCAGCTCCATTGCACCCGCAGCCGGCTCCCCTGCAATCACCCCCAAAGAGCGGCATGCAGCTCACTCTCCAGATGTCTGCTGCCCCGTGGATCTCCCCTCCCGCCCAGCCCCCCCGACCCCGCAGGAGGAGGGGTACTTGTGGGGAGGACATGGAATTGAGAATGCAGCTGAATGACCCTCTTGCTCCCATCTCTGGCCAGTCCCCCCAGGGAGTAACCTCTGACCCCACAGGATACCCGGCCCCCTGACTGTCCCCCTACCACTGCCCAATGTGGCTCCTCATCCAGGTCAGGGCCAGTGTCCACTCCCCTCTCCCTCTGGTCTGTCCTGTGTCCTGCTGCTGCCTCTGGCCACTTAGCATGCAGCCGGCTGTGTAGGCTGCAGCAACCAAATGAGATTAGCTTTCCCGCTAAGCAAGTCCCCACTCGCCACCACCCACGGCCCAGCGCTCAGGGCCTCAGGGCCGCCAGCTGTTTGCTGAGCTCCCACCGCAGGGAGGTCCCAGCCCTAGCCTTTCCCA